GTTAGACACAAGAAGAGGCCAAAAAGCAAGCGTCCGACACACAAAACCCGTCAAATCCACTTGCAGTCACAATCAATGATTCTACGAATCGCGAGCGCTCACGAATCATAAAACCACCGACTGCGGCACTCTGAAATCGAAATTGACAGGCTCTATGCCTCAAACACCCGCCCTCCAATCTACTCCCGCATCCAACAACACAAATCTCCATTACAACATCTAACGAATTCAAAACTCCGAAAATCACTCATCTATAGCAAGTGAGTGGAAGCAACCCTGCATGCAACCATTCTTCATGATACACTTTTTCGGCCAAAATTTACTAGAAGATCATTACTTTGAGTGAGAAGTTTCTAATAAACCCTCCCAGTTCCTCTGTATACAGAACAAATCTGATAATATAATCAGAATTGCTCAGTCTGCATGAAGCAGTCGATTTCATCAAGGAAGTTTTATTAACAACCAAGAAATAGTAGTTTGAGACATACTGAAGCATTATGAAGGTGATATGTGTCACTATAGGAAATCATCATCGTTGCAAATATAAAGAAATTAAACATAACCCTTTGCTTCAGTACCGTCAACCTCCATGTCCATGGGGAGGGTAAATAAATATGTATACAAATAAATACATATACAAATAAATACATGTACAAATAAAAACATATACAAATAAATTCAGTAAGTAAGTAAGTAAGTAAGTAAGTAAGTAAGTAAGTAAGTAAGTAAGTAAGTAAGTAAGTAAGTAAGTAAGTAAGTAAGTAAGTAAGTAAGTAAGTAAGTAAGTAAGTAAGTAAGTAAGTAAGTAAGTAAGTAAGTAAGTAAGTAAGTAAGTAAGTAAGTAAGTAAGTAAGTAAGTAAGTAAGTAAGTAAGTAAGTAAGTAAGTAAGTAAGTAAGTAAGTAAGTAAGTAAGTAAGTAAGTAAGTAAGTAAGTAAGTAAGTAAGTAAGTAAGTAAGTAAGTAAGTAAGTAAGTAAGTAAGTAAGTAAGTAAGTAAGTAAGTAAGTAAGTAAGTAAGTAAGTAAGTAAGTAAGTAAGTAAGTAAGTAAGTAAGTAAGTAAGTAAGTAAGTAAGTAAGTAAATAAGTAAGTAAGTAAGTAAATAAGTAAGTAAGTAAGTAAGTAAGTAAGTAAGTAAGTAAGTAAGTAAGTAAGTAAGTAAGTAAGTAAGTAAGTAAGTAAGTAAGTAAGTAAGTAAGTAAGTAAGTAAGTAAGTAAGTAAGTAAGTAAGTAAGTAAGTAAGTAAGTAAGTAAGTAAGTAAGTAAGTAAGTAAGTAAGTAAGTAAGTAAGTAAGTAAGTAAGTAAGTAAGTAAGTAAGTAAGTAAGTAAGTAAGTAAGTAAGTAAGTAAGTAAGTAAGTAAGTAAGTAAGTAAGTAAGTAAGTAAGTAAGTAAGTAAGTAAGTAAGTAAGTAAGTAAGTAAGTAAGTAAGTAAGTAAGTAAGTAAGTTAGTTAGTTAGTTAGTAGTTAGTTTAGTTAGTTAGTTAGTTAGTTAGTTAGTTAGTTAGTTAGTTAGTTAGTTAGTTAGTTAGTTAGTTAGTTAGTTAGTTAGTTAGTTTAGTTAGTTAGTTAGTTAGTTAGTTAGTTAGTTAGTTAGTTAGTTAGTTAGTTAGTTAGTTAGTTAGTTAGTTAGTTAGTTAGTTAGTTAGTTAGTTAGTTAGTTAGTTAGTTAGTTAGTTAGTTAGTTAGTTAGTTAGTTAGTTAGTTAGTTAGTTAGTTAGTTAGTTAGTTAGTTAGTTAGTTAGTTAGTTAGTTAGTTAGTTAGTTAGTTAGTTAGTTAGTTAGTTAGTTAGTTAGTTAGTTAGTTAGTTTAGTTAGTTAGTTAGTTAGTTAGTTAGTTAGTTAGTTAGTTAGTTAGTTAGTTAGTTAGTTAGTTAGTTAGTTAGTTAGTTAGTTAGTTATGTTAGTTTTAGTTTAGTTAGTTAGTTAGTTAGTTAGTTAGTTAGTTAGGTTAGTTAGTTAGTTAGTTAGTTAGTTAGTTAGTTAGTTAGTTAGTTAGTTAGTTAGTTAGTTAGTTAGTTAGTTAGTTAGTTAGTTAGTTAGTTAGTTAGTTAGTTAGTTAGTTAGTTAGTTAGTTAGTTAGTTAGTTAGTTAGTTAGTTAGTTAGTTAGTTAGTTAGTTAGTTAGTTAGTTAGTTAGTTAGTTAGTTAGTTAGTTAGTTAGTTAGTTTAGTTAGTTGTTAGTTAGTTTAGTTAGTTAGTTAGTTAGTTAGTTAGTTAGTTAGTTAGTTAGTTAGTTAGTTAGTTAGTTAGTTAGTTAGTTAGTTAGTTAGTTAGTTAGTTAGTTAGTTAGTTAGTTAGTTAGTTAGTTAGTTAGTTAGTTAGTTAGTTAGTATTATAGTTAGTTAGTTAGTTAGTTAGTTAGTTAGTTAGTTAGTTAGTTAGTTAGTTAGTTAGTTAGTTAGTTAGTTAGTTAGTTAGTTAGTTAGTTAGTTAGTTAGTTAGTTAGTTAGTTAGTTAGTTAGTTAGTTAGTTAGTTAGTTAGTTAGTTAGTTAGTTAGTTAGTTAGTTAGTTAGTTAGTTAGTTAGTTAGTTAGTTAGTTAGTTAGTTAGTTAGTTTAGTTAGTTAGTTAGTTAGTTAGTTGTTAGTTAGTTAGTTAGTTAGTTAGTTAGTTAGTTTGTTTAGTTAGTTAGTTTAAGTTAGTTAGTTAGTTAGTTAGTTAGTTAGTTAGTTAGTTAGTTAGTTAGTTAGTTAGTTAGTTAGTTAGTTTAGTTAGTTAGTTAGTTAGTTAGTTAGTTAGTTAGTTAGTTAGTTAGTTAGTTAGTTAGTTAGTTAGTTAGTTAGTTAGTTAGGTTAGTTTAGTTAGTTAGTTAGTTAGTTAGTTAGTTAGTTAGTTAGTTAGTTAGTTTAGTTAGTTAGTTAGTTAGTAGTTAGTTAGTTAGTTAGTTAGTTAGTTAGTTAGTTAGTTAGTTAGTTAGTTAGTTAGTTAGTTAGTTAGTTAGTTAGTTAGTTAGTTTAGTTAGTTAGTTAGTTAGTTAGTTAGTTAGTTAGTTAGTTAGTTAGTTAGTTAGTTAGTTAGTTAGTTAGTTAGTTAGTTAGTTAGTTAGTTAGTTAGTTAGTTAGTTAGTTAGTTAGTTAGTTAGTTAGTTAGTTAGTTAGTTAGTTAGTTAGTTAGTTAGTTAGTTAGTTAGTTAGTTAGTTAGTTAGTTAGTTAGTTAGTTAGTTAGTTAGTTAGTTAGTTAGTTAGTTAGTTAGTTAGTTAGTTAGTTAGTTAGTTAGTTAGTTAGTTAGTTAGTTAGTTAGTTAGTTAGTTAGTTAGTTAGTTAGTTAGTAAGTAAGTAAGTGAGTAAGTAAGTAAGTAAGTAAGTAAGTAAGTAAATAAAAAACTTAATAAGTAATGAATTAATAAATAATTAATAAATTAATTAAAAAAAATTACTATTTAATAATTAATATAATTTAATAATATGACAAATAAATTAATAAAGTAATAAATTAATAAATTAAAGGTAAATTAATCAGTAAATTGAAAAGTCAATAAACTATTAACCTTATGAATTAATAAATTTATAAAGTAAATTGATAAAAAAAAGCACAAAAAACTATTTATAAATTAATAATTTAGGAAATTAATAAAGTAATAAATAAATTAAGTTATTAAATAATAATTATTAATAGATAAAAAAATTAGTTAATTAATAAATTAATAAATCAATAGAATAATGTTTTAATAAATTAATAAATTTGTTAATTAGATTAATACAGTAATAAACTTATAAATCAATAAATGAATAAAGTCACACATTGATGAAGTATTTGTTTTATTAGAGAAACTTAGGGTTAATAAAGTACTAAATTAATATATTTTTGTAATGCTTTACTGTAGAGATTTTTAGCCGTAGGCTACACACTTAAAAATAACTAACCTGTTATGACTCAAATTTATGTCAAATTTACATAAATTTTTCTTAGTGTGTAGTTCATTTCTTCCCCCTTAATAAATTAATTAATAAATAAATAAAGTAATACAGTAATGACAGCCCTTTATTTGAAAATCTTTTATTATGTTCTATGAAAAGCGTGGGCTTTTTAGTGGTATTATTGCACCAAAATATACCTTAAACAGTCATCTTGAAGATGAATGAGAAAGGTTTGGAATTACAAAAATGTGAAACTATTGAAAGATAAAATTCTGGTGCGTGGAGGCGCTGACAAAATCTGGTGATCACTGTAACAATAATAACTTAACTAATTAAGGATATAATAAATTTTTCAATAAACTAATGAATTAATTAATAACTTAATAAATAAATGTATTAAAAAATTAATAAACTAATAAATTAATAAATTAATAATGCAGTAAATTAATAAATTAATAAATAAAAATATATATTCAAAGTGTTTTTTATGTTACTTCAAACGCGAAGTTAGCGACAGTTTTTAAAGATAGACGCACATCTTTTGCCTAACCCGTACGATGTACGCAGAGCACACTAAAGCTTCCTGTTAGCATTTCCAACCAAAAATATTTAATTATTTTTAATTCAATGAGTAATCAAGTAATCAAATTTATCAATAAACAAATATATACATAAATAAAGAAGTTTTTCAAAAATGGCCACATGCATTTCGATAGAAGCTTCGATTTGTGTATTGATATTCATTCTTCTGAATCTGGTTATAGCGCTGAAATGTCGGCGAATACGTACCCAAAAATACAATTAATTCGTTAACAATATTGGTTCAGAAGCAAATTCTGTTCCGACAAACCGATCATGATGTCCCGAAAAGGGAAAGCACGCCTAGGGTTGATTTGGCATTCAATAAGGCAAGTCTAAGGAAAAACTTCTCGCACCGATAATTAAATCTCAATTCTCTCCCGCTCTCAACAACCACGCAGTCTCTCCTTCTCTCGTGTGGTCTGCGGGATGGAGCCGTTGCCAAGCATGTGCTTCTTGTGGGGCTGGCACGTTAGGTTTCACCGTCCGTTCGTGGAGCGAAACTCCCAAACCAAATGCAATGAAATGTTATGATGAAGCTGAGGGGCACCAGTAGCAGTCTTCGACGAATCAGTTAGCCATCGACCGCTGTCCGTGACAGGTGTGTGTTCTTGTAATTGAGTATTAGTGGCGCCCTTGAATATCGGAGATCACTGCGATTCGAGAGGTTGGTGTGTTGTGTTTGATGCTGCGTAAACTTCGTCAGTAGTCAGTGGGTCCATGCAACTCGACCGGGCGTATATGTAGTAGAGTGGTGAGAAGAAAACCAGTTCAGCTGTTCGCGCGCGCCGTCGAAGGAGTTTCACTTCCCCAATAATCGACTCAGTTGTGGATTTCTGGTGTGTGACGTGTTGTTGGACAGTACTGTGTATGTGAACAAGCGGGCAGCCCCGAGTCGAGTGGAGACTGTCGAGTTGCATTCCACGGTGAACGTTTTTTTTTGCGTTTCCCGTCACACGATCCTGCTTGAATTTAAACGGCCGTGCGCTGGCTGGAGAAATCTGAGAATCTCGACAAGTTGTGCCGAATTTTGGGATAGGGAACGAAGGAGGTGAAAAATATCGAAACTCTCAGTGGATGTCCGAGTTTCGCCTTAATAAACGGAAAGAAGTTTTCTTTGTGTAAACTAACGGAAAGTTTGCGAATGTAGGAAAGAAGTATTTTTTTTTGATTCGATTGATCACATGTGAAACACGGCAAAGTTGAAAACGGAAAGAACAACGTTTGAAGAACATATACAGAAGCGAAGCAAATTCAAATTCGAACTGCGCCCTTAGGGAGGTCACCGGACCAAACCGACGGAGATTGAATTCCGAAGCAATTAAATAAATTGCTCTCGAAATCCAATCAAATCGGGTGGCTTGTCTAACGAAGTTCGATTTTAAATTTCCTTCGCAGTTTTTGTACAGTCAGTTATATGGTGAGCCAATTCTGTGTGACATCAGTGGGAGGATCAAACACGGAGCAAGAGTGAACGAACGAAGATAGGTACAATTGATTCCAAATCCAATTTCGCCTCTGGTGATTAAAATTTCAGGGAGCTGAGCTTCATCACCGTTTCCGGTGTTTCGTCCGGTTCCTCCTGCTGTTGGTGTAGCTTCTAATCAAAAACTGGTAAGTTGATGTTATCTCCGGTATCTTTCCCATTGGCAGGCGTGCCAAGATTGAAAGTGGAAATTGCTTGCTGTGGTTGTGTGTGTGTGTGTCTATTCTATTTGAATATGTAGAATGCTCTCCCACTTCATCGACGATCCCTATTCAATTAGGAAGTACGTCTTCGCCTTGGCTGGAAGTTCTAAGAATTCATTTACGTGTAGATGCGTCCTGGGACCTTGGTTGTTAGGCTGCTTTATGAAAATTCATCCGGGGCAATGGAATCCTATTTCCGGCATGATTTCTCACTGAAACACTGGTAGATGCGTGCATGTTGTTTAATTCATTAAGTTGCACTCTACTGATTACTCTTGTGGGCAGTGGGTTCATTTTCAGCTCAATACACATAAAGGATTTACATATACGTTTCTAACTGAGTTGTGCTGAAGGCTTTTGGTGTTCCTGAAAAAGGTTTAAATGTAAAGAAAGAGAGAAAGACTAGTAATTTCCATTTAATTCCACTACCTTAATTTCTTATCCTCTTATCTACAATGTGCAGACTTCTTCAGTTTATAGTACAAATATTGGACTCTCGAGTAAAAACTGCAGAGGATGTAAAAAATTCACCCTTACCCCATTTGTTTTGCATGTATAATTATATTTTACTGTAAGAGATCACTGCTTTAGTCGAAAACAGAATGCTTATAAACTTTTCGATTCTAAAGAAGGAATTATCTGGCGCCGAAGCGTGGGGCGAATTGTAATAATTTAGTTCTTATTTAAAACAAGACAAAGGGGCTTATTACGGATGTCACTTCACGGTGAAAACTCGTCACTTGTCGTCACGGTGTAGTGATTCTCATTTGATTTGTTCGGAAATCATGGCTCTTATTCGGAGTACCACTTCCTTATCACCGTGTAGTGACATCCGTAATAAAGCCCAAAACAAAACTGCGCAACCAAGAACTCAAAGCACAAGATCGGAAAATGTATGTGTGTGTGTAACGCAAATTTTGTAGGTAATGTTTCTCGACAATCACTGAACTGAATTGGACGCAATATGTACCAAATGAAATGTACTATGGTACCGAAGAATGCTTTTGAATATTTTTGGAATCGGTCAACTGGTTCCGGAGATATGGTCGGAAAATTTTCCGGTTTGTGTGGGCCTTGAGATTAAATCCGTCTTGAAACTAATAAAACCTATAATGTGATGACCAAAGTGCGGCCCCGAGCCGCACGTGAGGCTGGATTTCTATGATGCAATATCTTCAACATGAATTTATTTTTGCATCACGAATGTTTTGCCGCAATGTTTGGGAAACACACAAAATTCAACCTAAAATATGACATTGCAAAAAGGGGATGAGCACCACTGGTGTAAAACATCAAATGACATGAGAATTAAAAAAATCAGTTCAATGGGTGCCATTTGAAATGCCCAGCACCACCCAGGTCGAATAAAAAAAAACACAAAAGGCCGAAATTTCTAAGGTCGAAAGTACAAAAGGTTGAAAACGTAATATACTTAGTAAAGAAAACAGGCAAACAAAACTTAGGCGCAATATGAGCAATTTAACTGAAATTTTCAAATCATTTATCTCTTTTAAAGTTGGATCCCTCTTTATAGCATGATCAGTTATTTGGAAGATAAAATCTATTCAACAAAACTCAAACAAACTTTTTTCACTCTTGGAGATGTCACCTTCTTCATGACATGAGCAATTTTTTGACAGACAAAAGCTTTAGAATAATCCAACTTAAAACTAATGTTTTACTCTTAGAGTTGATTTCTTCTTTATGACATGAGCAGTTCTTTGACATAAATTACACTCCCGATCATAAGTTTGGGGTCACCTTTTAAAAAAACATGTAAATGTTTTTTACTCATATCTCTGTCATTTTACGACCGATTCTCGATCTTTATAAGTAATTAGATTGGTATTGTCTGAAATGTAGTTCGTAGGTAACTGGTTTAATATATTTTACAATTTTTGAATACTAAAACTTATCTGTTAGTTACAACATTTTCCAAAACTCACACTGTATAATCAAGACTGATTTTCTCAGAATTTGGTCGACCAAATTTTGAAATGAAAGTGGTTGTAGAACCCTTATTCTATACCTACATCCAGGATGGCGGAAAGATTTAGAAAATATTTTAAATAAATAAAGTAGTAATTCATGTCGTCGATCATAAGTTTGGGGTTACCCACAAAAAAGGTAAATCTGAGTAAAATTCAAAAGCAACCCTGAATAGGATCCAAAAGAAATTGTAATGAAAATTCATAACAGTTTTTGACGTTAATTCTTAAGGAATTATGAGAAAATTTAGACGAGAAGGGTGATTTCACTACCTCTAAGGTAATACAAAAGAGAAATCTAAAGACATTGTGAGGATAATTTCGAAAAGATTCTGGGAGAAAAAGAATCCGGAGCATTTTTCCAAGGGAGTATTTGGAGAATTTAATTAAAGCTAAGTATAATTCCTGTAGAACCACAGATGAAAATTTCTGTCTTGACAAATTATGAGGAGACATTTATGGAACTTGTTATGAGCACTGCATGTAATTCTTAGGTTAGAATTTCATAGTTGTGCGTTAAATTACAAGGGAATTCGAAATGTAATTCTAGATTGAAATGTAATTCTGAAATATATTCAATAGCATTTCTGAAAATAATGCCAAAGGTAAGAATATTCTTTAAAAAAAAATCTGAAGAATATTTCAAAGGGGATTTCGAGGAGTATTCCAAGGATATTCGGGTGATTAGATAATTCAAAGGAGAATATTTAGTGAATGCTGAGGTGAACTCCAAGTGAATTTTCAGGACAATTCTTCGAGGAATTCCTAGGAATAACAGCAAGAATTATTAATAATTTGATGAGCATTGTAGAGTACTTTCAAATAGTGTTCTTAAGGAGAAGTTTACCGCCCGAATATATTTTTTTCGGCACGTTGTTATTTTTCTAAAAATAATGGAAAAAAAATATAAAAATCCAAGAAAATTAATTTTTCCATAGATTCTTGAGAAAATTTACTAGTAAACATATTTTTTCTATCTTATCATGAAAAAAATGGACTCTTAGCAAAACCGAAAGGTCCATGTTTTGTCTTTTTTTAGTCTAAATTTATACCATAATGACTTACAAAAAATGTTTTTGCACGTGAATTTTCTTTAGAAAATTACAAAAAAATTTATTATTTATAGATTTTTGATATCTTTTTCCAATATTTTAAGCCAAATAAAAAATTATTTTAATTTTGCGGAGTGGTGATCTTTTCCTTAAGAAGATTTTAATGAGTATTATGAAAAAAAATATGGGATTAGCAGCGCCGGTGGTGTAGTGGTAAGCGTGCTTGCCTCTCACCCCAAAGAGCCTCAGTTCAATCCCAGTCGGCGCAAGCGGGATTTTCTAAGGCATAACATCTCTTCGGAAGGGAAAGTTCCCAACAAACATTGAATGCTGAATAAGAGCTTATTCAGGCAAAAATATGCTTCTTCAGCTAAAAAATAGCTTGTTCGACTATTAATCAACTCAAATTGTTTGTTGGGTTAACTCGTTGATCTCTGGTTCATGAGTTGATGGGTCGATAAGTTGTGTCCAGGTGTTGGAGCTCTGCCTCCCTGAAATCGGTAGCATTGGTACTCATTACGGAAAACAAGATCAACGGAAAACAAATCACAAAACAAAAACAAATTTTTTTTATAAGGGAATGCCAGAAAACATCTAAGATGAGGATATTCTAAGATGATTCTAAACATTTTTCAAAACAGGCTACAGAGTTCCTAGAGTATCAAGTTGATTCAAAAGTTGATATTTTTTCGAGATTCTGGGTACAGAAAAATAAATGAAGTTCCGGGATTTGAAAATAAATTAAAATTCGTAGTCTTTGTTTTTGTTTTCAAATTTCATGTTTGATTCAAGCAGTTGTTTTTTTTAATGAATTTCATAGTTTGTAGACAGAGGACGCAATATATTTTTCTATTCTTCCTTGAAAATTTTGGATTTTTTACACAACACTTAACAAAATCAGCATCTCCATCAATTTATAGCAACTGTATGTTTTTCAATACAAAATCCCAAATTTACAATTTCATTTTAATTTACCTAAAAAGTATTTCTAATAACCTTTCATTAAATATGTTGGTGGCTCAAAAACTATGATTATTTGAAAAAAAAAGTAATTTTTTATAAAAATCGATTTTTTGGACTTCCTTTACATGGAAATGGTCGCCGTTATGACAAAATAAAAAATACGGGTCCAATATTTTGCGATACGGAATAAAACTACCAATTTTTACGAAATTTTGAAAACCACTATATTGTATTGCTATGGAATGGCAGAATTTTTAGTCAAAAATTTTAATGTTGCATTGAAATACTTTAAATCGTGTTAAATTTAAATGTTCCCTCATTTCACATCCGTTGAACCATTCGAAACGGCCATCCCGTTGTGGTTATATCACAGCATTGCTAATAATGTATACATCTATTTCTTTTCTGGTACCATCGAGTCCAAACTAAAAGTGAAAGAAAATCTGCAAAATGGAGCACATGCGATACGACAATAGAGTGATGCTCGTGGAGGCATACATGTGAAAACATTGAAAATACTCCAATTGCTGTTAGATTGCAGAAAATTCATTCAAAAGATCATTCAAATGGCCTAGGAACTCTTAAAAAGAGTATGGCACGTTTACTGGATCAGTAGGTGAAACGTTAGAGATAGTGATGAAAACACACTTTCCATGTTCGACTTCTAACATAAATGAAGACCAGAATATATACGCAGCAAAAAATGTCTCTGGAAAAACCAGGACGTATGTTCAGGAAACAATGAACGAGTCGACTGCATCAGAGAGAGCCAGGAAAGATGCTCAAAATCTGGCCAACATGATTTTTACAGAGAAACGAGTTGAATGGGCGATTGATTCTTTTGAACCTTTCAAATCACCAAGTAGGGACGGAATTTTTCCAGTACTACTCCAGAAAGGAAAAAAAAACATTGACACTTATT